TTTCGCAACGTTTGACAAACGTTTCTAAAGGTGACTTTTCGCAACGTTTGATAAACGTTGTGAAAAGTCTTACCTTTCGCAACGTTTATTAAACGTTGCTCAAGGTAAAACCTTCTGCAACTCTCAATAAACGTTGCTAAAGGTGTCTACCACAACATTTTTCTAAAAAACGTTGCCAAAACTCATTTATATTAACTAGTGGCAACATTCACTTACTAAAATGTTGCCAAAAGACCGTTTTGTGACAAATGTTGCCTTCTTAATGTTGCGAATGGCTAATTTTGTTGTAGTGACTATGGCTTTTACCCTAGAAATCCAGTATTAAGAACAAGAAAGATATAGCCAAGTTCTAGACTATCGATGGTAAAGGAAATTAAGGGCTCGTTTGGCATGGCTTTTAAAAAGTCAAAATGAAGCTGCTTTTAGACCCGTTTGGCTAATTTTATAAAAAATATTTCTGATAGTTAGAAGGGCTTTTAGAGGAAGCTAATCCAATGTGACTTCCTCCAAAATCATTTTCGGAATAGGAAGTGCGTTTAAAAATCAATTTTCAAATAAAAATTAAGATAACGTTCCCCAGAAGCTCTTTCAGCATAAGCAAAAGTTATGCAAAACGGGCAATAAATGTTGTATGTAATAGTCAAGATTACCCATGACCATTTTAACTTCATCATAGACTAGTTTCACTGCTAATGAAAGATGATTTTTCACTAGATCACATGTACTACATAATGAATATGTAACACAATTCCATTGCCAAAGAATCCCTGTGGGAGTGGTGGATCAAATCTCGACCGGTCATTAACTACGAAAAGGAGTTTCATCCGCTTCAGTTTTTTTTGATAACCGTGGATGTCCGGGCCAACTTGCGCGTACCTCAACTAATCCCACGGGTCCCTGAAGTTTACGGCCAGGTACTCATCTCAGTAGCGTTGAGGGGATTCGAACTGATGACCATTGAGGAGCAAACCTAAGGCCTGACCAATTGAGCAACCCCTCAAGGTTAATCAGGCTTCAGTTTTAATGCATGACTACGAGATTTCTAAACAAAAGCCATAAGAGCTTCAAATCTGGAGCATTTATGAAGATTTCCATCCTCTAAGGCTTTCTTTATGAGATTCTCAAGCTTTTCGGGGTC